CCTCTCTCTCTACCTCTCCTCTCTCTCTACCTCTCCTCTCTCTCTACCTCTCCTCTCTCTCTACCTCTCCTCTCTCTCTACCTCTCCTCTCTCTCTACCTCTCCTCTCTCTCTACCTCTCCTCTCTCTCTACCTCTCCTCTCTCTCTACCTCTCCTCTCTCTCCTATTCTCATCGATTTAGTTGTTGCAGCCCTACTGTGTAACTGCCCAGGTTATGGTAAGAATGGACTAGAGCAGGGGCGGGCAAACTCCGGCCCTCCCGTTGCGGTGAAACTCCAAATCCCATCATGACTCTGGGAGCCATGCCCGTGGCTGTGAGAATCCTGAAATGCCCTGTGGGATTTGTAGTTCCCCCAACAGCTGGAGGGCCGGAGTTTGGCCACCCCTGGACTAGAGAATCGAAAGGCCCTCCAACCAAATGAGTGCATTGCAGAACAAAGCCTTCCTAGAGCAGAAGTGCGATCTGTGACTCAAGTCCTACTCCATAGACGCCATCACTTCCATACACTGCACTGATGATGACCAAAAAGACTGAAACATCTGTATGCGGATTGGAATAAATGGCTCTTTAATATTAGGATATGTTTGTTCTATACGCCGGAGGTTCTGGATGTGCATTGTGCTGATGGGGTGTAAAGGGGTCATTTGCATGGCTCCGCCCACTGTCATTAAATAAGGAAATTCTCTTGGATGGAATGAGACATGTGATCTGCTTCAAGAATGCTCTACTGTATATGTGTATGTATAATATATCTATCTATATCTGTCTATATAGATATATAGATATAGATAAATAAAGATACAATATTTCGATACAAAGTATCACTCTGATGGCAGATTCCAGCACACAGGTGACTTCCTGTCTAGCAATCCCACATTTAAGTTGCAGCTGAAACACGGGACCGGAAGCTCTGCGATCCCCATACACAGTCCGTACCCCCTGTACGGTGATGATGTCATCAGAAAGCTGTGTTGGGGGGGCTCCCGCACCTATAAACTCTAGATTAGGGGGTCCCCTGATGGCTGCCCACCCAGGAAGGGATTGAAAGACGTTCTACTAACGTTGTGATGAATCCTCAGGGAACTAACTCTGTGGCCAATGGGATCGTCCTCCAACTACGCCACGAGCATGTCGCCCTCACACCCCTCCCCCCCCCCGGTGTGCTGTCAGGTGTTCAGCCCTTTCCCAATCCCGCGTGTGTGCTTGCGTTGAGGTATGTGTGCCGGGGACGTCTCCTCTCCACGTCCCCTCTGACCATCTTTGTGTCTTGTGTTGCAGCCCCGGGAGAAAGGACGCATGCGCTTCCACAAACTGCAGAATGTACAGATCGCCCTGGATTTCCTGAAACTGCGTCAGGTAAGGTGCCCGCCATGCCAACCATGTCTCTGCGTGTGCTCCTCCCAATGTGTATTAGAAGCTGCAGTAAGTCAGATAGAGCCCGCCTCCTTTCCTGGCTGGCGCCCTCTAGCTCTTTCCTCCCCAGCCTGACTGTCCCTGGCTCCGCCCTTTCACTGGCCATTTTTTAAAAAAGATTTTATGGCTGTTTGGGGAGATTCTCCCTTTCTTTTTGTCCTGGTTACCATTGTGGCTGGGACAGGAAGTGATGGGAAATCTCCCCAGTGGGACAAATAAAGGAAAATAATGCATTGGCTGTACATGGACTTCTTATAGAGAGATACAAAGGAGAGGTAACAGGTGCCGAGATAAAATCATTTACACGTCTCTTGTCATCAGTCTATGATGACCTGTCACTTTAAGTGATTCATCCCTGGAAGTGGAGTTCTCGGATTGTCCCTCACCGGTGTTTATCTTCGATCCGCTCGACTTATTCTCAATGCGGCAAAGAGCCGATCATCATAAATGAAGGATTTCACTTTCTTGGCTCGCGGATTTATTCTGTTGTGACGGAGATTTCGGCAAAGTGCTTTTAAATAAACAATTCTTCGATGTGCGCAATGCGTCCGCCATGTTTTCCTTCCAGGAAGGCCGCGGCTTTTTTATAACCTCTTTTTTTCCTCTTACAGGTGAAACTTGTCAACATTCGAAATGACGACATCGCAGACGGGAACCCCAAGCTGACACTGGGTCTAATCTGGACCATAATCCTTCACTTCCAGGTAAATGGTGTTCTGATGGTCCAGGTCATGTGTGCCAGCAATGAAAGGAACTATGGTGGCCCAGGTCAGGTGTGCCAGCAATGAAAGGAACTATGGTGGCCCAGGTCATGTGTGCCAGCAATGAAAGGAACTATGGTGGCCCAGGTCATGTGTGCCAGCAATGAAAGGAACTATGGTGGCCCAGGTCATGTGTGCCAGCAATGAAAGGAACTATGGTGGCCCAGGTCATGTGTGCCAGCAATAAAAGGAACTATGGTGGCCCAGGTCAGGTGTGCCAGCTATTGGTGGCCCAGGTCAGGTGTGCCAGCTATTGGTGGCCCAGGTCAGGTGTGCCAGCTATTGGTGGCCCAGGTCAGGTGTGCCAGCTATTGGTGGCCCAGGTCAGGTGTGCCAATACTATGCTGGCTAAAGTCAGGTGTGCTGGCACTATGTTGGTCCAGGCCAAGTGTGCGTTCTCTGTGGTGACCCAGGTCAGGGGGGCCAGGGATAGGATATGGTGGCTCGGGTCAGGTGTGTTGGGAAAATGGTAGCATAGTTCTGGAGGGTTGGTGGTAGGGTGGCTCAGTTTAGGTGTGACGGGTATATGGGGACATAGGTCAGAGGTGTTGGGGATATGGTGGTTCTGGTCAGGTGTGCCATGGATCTTGGAGCCAGGGAGCTCATGTTAGGTGTGCCAGGTTTTTGGTGGCTCAGAACTTGGGTGTTGGGGATACGGTGGCTCAGGTCAGTTGTGTTGGGTATATGTTGGCCCAGGTCGGGTGTATTGGGGATTTGATGGCTCAGGTCTGGTGTACCGGGTATATGTTGGCCCGGGTTGGGTATGTTGGGTATATGTTGGCCCGGGTTGGGTATATGTTGGCCCAGGTCAGGTATGTTGGGTATATGTTGGCCCAGGTTGGTTATGTTGGGTATATGTCGGCCCAGGTTTGGTTATTTCGGCAAAGTGCTTTTAAATAAACAATTCTTCGATGTGCGCAATGCGTCCGCCATGTTTTCCTTCCAGGAAGGCCGCGGCTTTTTTATAACCTCTTTTTTTCCTCTTACAGGTGAAACTTGTCAACATTCGAAATGACGACATCGCAGACGGGAACCCCAAGCTGACACTGGGTCTAATCTGGACCATAATCCTTCACTTCCAGGTAAATGGTGTTCTGATGGTCCAGGTCATGTGTGCCAGCAATGAAAGGAACTATGGTGGCCCAGGTCAGGTGTGCCAGCAATGAAAGGTATTTATTCTGTTGTGACGGAGATTTCGGCAAAGTGCTTTTAAATAAACAATTCTTCGATGTGCGCAATGCGTCCGCCATGTTTTCCTTCCAGGAAGGCCGCGGCTTTTTTATAACCTCTTTTTTTCCTCTTACAGGTGAAACTTGTCAACATTCGAAATGACGACATCGCAGACGGGAACCCCAAGCTGACACTGGGTCTAATCTGGACCATAATCCTTCACTTCCAGGTAAATGGTGTTCTGATGGTCCAGGTCATGTGTGCCAGCAATGAAAGGAACTATGGTGGCCCAGGTCAGGTGTGCCAGCAATGAAAGGAACTATGGTGGCCCAGGTCATGTGGGCCAGCAATGCAAGGAACTATGGTGGCCCAGGTCATGTGTGCCAGCAATGAAAGGAACTATGGTGGCCCAGGTCATGTGTGCCAGCAATGAAAGGAACTATGGTGGCCCAGGTCATGTGTGCCAGCAATGAAAGGAACTATGGTGGCCCAGGTCATGTGTGCCAGCAATGAAAGGAACTATGGTGGCCCAGGTCATGTGTGCCAGCAATGAAAGGAACTATGGTGGCCCAGGTCAGGTGTGCCAGCAATGAAACCAGGTCATGTGTGCCAGGAATGAAAGGAACTATGGTGGCCCAGGTCAGGTGTGCCAGCAATGAAAGGAACTATGGTGGCCCAGGTCATGTGTGCCAGCAATGAAAGGAACTATGGTGGCCCAGGTCATGTGTGCCAGCAATGAAAGGAACTATGGTGGCCCAGGTCAGGTGTGCCAGCTATTGGTGGCCCAGGTCAGATGTGCCAGCTAGTGGTGGCCCAGGTCAGGTGTGCCAGCTATTGGTGGCCCAGGTCAGGTGTGCCAGCTATTGGTGGCCCAGGTCAGGTGTGCCAATACTATGCTGGCTAAAGTCAGGTGTGCTGGCACTATGTTGGTCCAGGCCAAGTGTGCGTTCTCTGTGGTGACCCAGGTCAGGGGGGCCAGGGATAGGATATGGTGGCTCGGGTCAGGTGTGTTGGGAAAATGGTAGCATAGTTCTGGAGGGTTGGTGGTAGGGTGGCTCAGTTTAGGTGTGACGGGTATATGGGGACATAGGTCAGAGGTGTTGGGGATATGGTGGTTCTGGTCAGGTGTGCCATGGATCTTGGAGCCAGGGAGCTCATGTTAGGTGTGCCAGGTTTTTGGTGGCTCAGAACTTGGGTGTTGGGGATACGGTGGCTCAGGTCAGTTGTGTTGGGTATATGTTGGCCCAGGTCGGGTGTATTGGGGATTTGATGGCTCAGGTCTGGTGTACCGGGTATATGTTGGCCCGGGTTGGGTATGTTGGGTATATGTTGGCCCGGGTTGGGTATATGTTGGCCCAGGTCAGGTATGTTGGGTATATGTTGGCCCAGGTTGGTTATGTTGGGTATATGTCGGCCCAGGTTTGGTATATGTTGGCCCAGGTCGGCTGTGTTGGGTATATGTTGGCCCAGGTCGGGTATATTGGGTATATGTTGGCCATGGTCGGGTGCGTTGGGTATTTGTTGACCCAGGTCCGGTGTGCTGGTTCTTTGGTGGCCCAGTTCAGGTTTGCCTGTCATATGCTGCATCTGTCATCTTCTGAAACGGTTTCCCCACTTCTGTATTTAGCGGTATACACCACCACAGAAGGATGTCTGTATACCCGGCTTCCTCTTTTTCCCCCGTTGTTGGGCATTTCTTGGCTCTGCTGGTCAGGCTGGCACACTTTCTGTACCATGTGCAGCTGGCGTGATCCACAGATGGCAGGGTGTGGCCTGCGGTGACTCACCCTCACGCGCCGCCCCCCCCCCCCCCCCCCCCCACCCCTCCTATCTCCACTTCTTGTCGGGT